CTCATTCTTAGACATCCACTGTCTGCATGTTCGACATCTTCTTGAAACTCGTTCTTTAGTTTTGGAATAGATTCAAACGCTAAGTTAGCAATATCGCAAGCATCATATACATAGTTAAGAAAACTATAACAAATAAGTGAACATATGGAATCAAGACTCGTCAAAACTAAATTGGTCAACATGAAAAGTAAATATTTAACTCAAGTGCGATCATGAAGCCTGGAAACAGCCTTGAGTTGTTCACAGTGCTTTCAAACTTTTCCATGAGATGATAAACATTTTTTATGCAATCACGGAATGTCAATGTGCCTCACAAAAAGGACTTACACAACTCCAGATTGTCAACTATCTTGTACAAGTGTCAGTTTGAATTTCTTCTTTTCCTTAAATGATAGTCCCTAAGAAGTACAAAATGCCATCTTTAAACGACCGTCACCTGCCTTACTCATTGATTCTAGCTTTGCGAACACAGTTTCCATATTTGTTTTCTTCACCCTTAAATAGCCGATCTACAAAGTCAGTGTTGCCCGATTTGTTTTCATAATCTGCTAGGAGTCATGGCAGTATAACCCGCTAATCAAGGTATGCTCCTTGATTGTATATCGAATGGGAACACCATCCTCAATGAACCAAAATTCATTCATTTTAATAATGTTAGTTGTTCGAATAAGTAAAGTCCACATACCCGTGAATTTACGTGTATTGTCCCAATGCATATGGAAGATGTGTCTAAATTATGGGTGTTCCGTGAACCATCCAATCTCATATGCTGAAAGTTTATTCCTTAAGAAAGTAACCGTCTTTTCAATAGAACACCTTGATTATAATCTCAAAATTGTTGATAACTTGTTTGGTTGAAGAATATAATCTCCTAGGTCTATTTGGTGAAAGAAAAGGAACTTACTCAACTATTTATTGTGCTCTAAACAAACAAACAAAGGGGGACAATCACATCGAGTATATGAGTCGAATTCATAGTTAAACAAGAAGAAATGCAATGGAAAATTCACAAGGTCAGAATGAGCAAGTCCCTCAAATCATACCAAGTTACATTGGAGTAGGAGATGTTCCCACTACTCGTACTAAGAGGTATAGGATATTTTCTCCTCATGTCCAAACCAACAACTTCACAATCAAGAGGAGTTTGATCTCTATGGTTCAGAGCAATAGATTCATGGCCTGCTTTTGGAAGACCCCTTAGGCCATGTGCAGCGGCGTGTTTTGTAATCGTTCCACACATTTAAAAAAAAAAAAAAAAAGCAAGGACGTTGGTAAAATCGCGACGTCCCTTGCCTTGCTTTTCAACTATTTGCGGGCCCCACTGACATGTGTGGCCCGCTATTGGTTGTATTTATTTTTTTTTTTTTCTTTTTTTTCTTAAATCTAAATTTTTTTTAAAAATCATATATATAAAAGTAAGTTTTAACTCTCTTCTTATTGGTGGAAAAACATTTAAGCCCTTTATTTAAAAAAAAACATATATTTATAGAAAAGTAAATGTTTATGACAATTATTCAATACAAAATTTAATTACACCATAAGTTATAAACAAATGACAAAGAAAATGAAAAGAGTTAATTATATATATATACTAGTCGGTTGCCCGCGCTACGCGCGGGAGTTTATTATATTGTTAATGAGTAATTGGTTCGTATTTTATTTTCTACTTAAATTTTCACTATACCGTACATTTTTTTTTTAACTTAGATTATGTTTGTATAGAAAACCTATTGAGTGTTAGCTTCATTAGTTGTTGAGAAATTAAGTGTGTATAGTATAAGGCGAAGTGTGAGTGTAAACGGAAGTGTGGTGGAGAATCATTGAGAAACTCATAAACATGTGCTATTAGGGTTTTTAACAGATATAGATATAGATGTTAATATTGTGGCCCTTTTTAATATGTTGGTCCAAAATTTGAAAATGATTTGTGGGTTTCGGGTGGATTGTTGTATTTTTTATTGTTTACATTATCTCTTTATATATTGTCCTAAGTTTTTTTTTGTTTTACATTTTTTTTTTGGATTTGATGTAATTTATATCTCGTTATGATCATTTTTATACTATTATATATTTGTTTCTGAGTTTATGTTTTATATAATTTTCGTTTTTTCATATGGAAAATTTTTTAAATTTAACATATTAGTATAATTTACTTTATATTTGGTTTATTTCATTTAATATTGTTTATTTATTTTAATTTTTAATTTTTATTAAATATAGTTAACTTTTTATGTTGTTTATTAGTTTAACATATGGGTTGTATTGGAAAATATTAGTTAAATTCATATTGGAAACCTTTAAATAATCTTTTGGTTTTTTTTACCTTTTTATACGTTTTTTAAAAATGATAATTCATGTTTCGTTCCTACCTATCTCATTTATGTTGGAAAATTTTGTGAGACATAAATTAGATAGATTTATATACTCAAAATTTCTTACTTTTTGTTCTATTACCGTTAAATCTCATTATAATTTAGGTTTAAATTGTGTAAATATAATCGAATTTTGTGTCATATTATTTTTAATTGATATATATATATATATATATATATTAAACACTTAAAAACTATAATCTATTATTTATATATTTGTTAGTATAATCGATAATTAGTAAGATTTTTTTTAACTTTTTAATCAATTATCTTTTTTTAGTTTTATAATGTATAATATAAGAAAATACTTTTCATATTCCTTTTTGGAAAACTTATTTACATAGGTCTAAATTTTAAAATTATATGATAAAATGATATAATTAATTTTAAAATTAAATAATAAAATATGATGGATGATGATTAGGATGATGATGTGGCTTAAGGAGAAGAGAGAAAAAGCTAACTTTATATATATAGATATATATAAGTAAAGTTTCACTCTCTCTTTATTGCTCCATTTGATATTTTTTAAAAAATTAATATTTGTTTACCAAAAAAAACATTTAATCATATACATTAATCATACTTTAAATCCATACTTTACTACTAAAATGTAACTGAAAATTATATAAATTTTCAAAAACTATTGGTTTTCTTTATAATTAAACACACTAAAAATTATAATTATGACTCCTCTAATTTAATATTTTAAAATGTAACTTACATCAGTTCTTATCCTATAAATAGCCATTCTCACATCCTCCTCTACCATATCTCATATCTTCATTATTTTCTTTGTATTTTTAAAAATGTTCTTGCATGAGGTGAAAACTCAATTAAGATGTCATTGTAAGAGTTTGATTAAATATTTGGTTTAAATTTTTGTTTTCAATTTTATTTATTTTTTGTTTATATGTATTTTTTCATTTCTTCATTGTTTTTTTTTTTAATTTTTAAATGTAATACATATGTATAATAATATTGATGGGATTCAAAATATTGATTTCCGACCATTGCACAATAAGAAAATCAAGCTAAAGAAACAATCTTTATTCTTTTACTTTGGATGTTTGTTTATTTCTCCCATATTCATGTATATTTATTTTTATTTTAAAAGTATGTAATTTTTAACAAAATAAATTTTTGTTATATAATTATGAAACCAATTTGTAAGACATTATTTTAAGAATAATGATCCTTATATTTAGTTAGTGATTCAAGATTTAATAATATAAAGAACATTGTAATTTTTGTTAACTTTGAATTTTAGACTTGATTTCGTATCTAAAAAAAATTGATATTCAATTTTCTATCTATTATATTTACTAAAAGGATGAAAAATATAGTTAAACCTAGAGATATAACTTAAATTTACAGGAATAAAAAGAGATTAAAAAATAAAATTATTCTTTGGGAAGTTTTAAGGTTTCACTCTCTCCTTATTGGTCCATTTAACATTTCTTTTTAACTATCATATTTATTTTTAATTAAACCAAATATCTAACACATTTAATCATATACTTTAATTCATACTTGAAATCCACACTTTACTACTAAATTGTAACTGAAATTATATAACTTGTGAATTGACTATTTGTTTCCTCCATTCAATTTCAATTAACATACTATAAAATTATAATTATAACTCCTCTAATTTAATTATTTTAGAAATATAAATTACATCATATTTTATCCTATAAATACCCATTCTTACATCCTCCTCCACCATATTTGATACCTAAATATTTTCTTTGTTTTATTTTTTATTGTTCTTGCATGGGTTGAAAGCTCAATTAAGATATCATTGTAATAGCTTGATTATATATTTGGTTTAAAATTTTGTTTTCAATTCTATTTTTTCTTTGTTTTATGTACTTCTTCATTTCTTCATTGTTTTCTTATTCTATTAAATGTATAATACATATGTATAATAATTTTTT